CTCCTCCTCCTCCTCCTCCTCCTCCTCCTTTTCCTCCTCCTCCTCCTCCTTCTCCTCCTTCTCCTCCTTCTCCTTCTTTCTTCTTTTCTCTACTGTGCTGAGAATTGAAATCTAGGTGCCATTCTAGGGCAAACACTCCACCACTGAGCTACATACCTAGTCCTCGTTGGTTTTGAGACACTGGTCTTGCTACTAAGCTTTCTATGTAGGCCTTTAACACTGTAGTTCTGGTTGGTGTTGAACAGGCAATCTTGACTTATGCAACCTCAACTTCCCAAGTAGCTGGGATTACAGGCCTGTATCACCATGACTGGTTAAATGTACTTTGAATAAGTATCCTTGTTCCAAATCAGACTGCTGGAGTAGGGTCCCACTGACAGCTTTCTTAGCAGTCAGCAGGTTGTTTTTACCTGTGCTCTAGAGCCTACCCACATTTGGTCAATTAGGATACATGAATAGCTATTGTGTGCACCACAGGGGAAACAGGCAATCCAAGTAAGCCACTTCAGAACTTCCAAAGCTTAAGTGCTTCGTGAATGTGAACTTGTTCCAAGATAGACAGACTGAGAGGGGAGAGGGAGGTGAAGCTCCTAGTCCTAGGACTTTCTTAGCAGTTAGGCAGGTTGCTTTTGCATAAGGAAGTGACTAAATCCCCATAAGTCTTAGATTTAGGTATTTATAAAATGGACACAATTTCTGCCATGTAAGATTGCACACAGATTAAATGGAAGACATGGAAAGTGTGAACTGCATAATTGTGTTGTCATCTCTCCCCTCTCTCCCTCCTTTCTCCCTCCTCCTCTCCCCCTCCTCCTCTGTTCCTTCTCCTCTTTCTCAAATATGGCTTAAGCATCCATCCCTCGGGGAGCTGAATCAACATAGCTTTATCTGATTTGTCTTCAGTGACATCACATATGTAATTTGTTTCTAAGTGTCCAAGAATGTGCCCATCCCAAGAAGTCAGTGTTTCTGACTCACTTTGTCTCCTTGGAAAGATTCCCTAGGAACTGTGGCAGCTGAAGGTGCCTGTGGACTGGCGGGGGACTAAGCTATATGCTGCTTTCCTGAGGCACCCAAGGGGGAATGGCATTTGTCCTGTAAGGAACACACCCCCTGACCTTGTTGCTGGCTGGTCTATTCTTTGGGATTAGGTATTTCTGGGGAGGTTGTAGCTGCTTCTGTTCTTTCTTCAGTCAACCTGAGAGGGTAATCTAATATGGAATGAATGTATGCATTCCCCCAACCCATCATATCTCACCTAAAGAGAACTCAAAGCAAATAAGAATTGACTTCTGCTAACATCTATGTACTGTTCCCTAGAGTTTCTCTGTTTGTGAGATTTCAGTGGGCAGCTCGTACCTTTTATTGTGTCATTTGTGGTGCATTTCAGCAGATTGACAGTCGCCTTTTGCAGAGGGCTAACTCCATAAATAAATTTTACCATCCTTCCCATCTTGAAGAAATTAAAGTATGGCAGGAATTCTTGTCTTGTGTGGTGCACGCGTGCACTTGCACACACACACACATGTGCACACATGCACATACACACACAAAACAAAACCAACAACAAAACAAACCTAGTAAGTCTTTATTTTTGATACTATTTAGAAACAGTTGGCTCACTTGACCTGCTCTTTTCCCTTGAAGAAAATGTTGACTATTCTGATGTTTGATACTTGAAGTGAAGCAGAGTGAGACCTTCTGGATAGCCCGATGAACCAAATCCATTTTTTTTTTTTTTGTCTCTGCCCTTGACTTCAGGTATTCACCAGTGTTCGGATATCTCAGATATCTCTGTTTCTCATATGATAATGTTCAACATGAGTTAAGGTTAGACAAAACCTACTGTTGCTTGTGGTCAGCCATATGAGTAGTCTTTATACCACCTTTAAGTAGCTTCTCCTTTCAGTATATGTTTTGGAACCTAGATGGAGGCATGTCTGGTTTCATCTGGCTCTCTCTCTACTCAGATAACTGTGACCAGGTTCTCATCAACTGAGGCTAGTTTATTTCGCTGTGAAACCATAAGAGTTTGTGGAAGTTTGTTCCCACAGATGTGGAAGGCTAGGCTAGCATTGATTATCTTAAGGGAGAGTTTCCAGATACACCTTTCAATGGAGGAGAGAATATTCTGACAGAGCAAACTCTCGGCTTCTTTCATTATCTTTACTTCAGCTGTTCTATCAAAAATATTGTAGTATTCCTGAGCATCGATATACAGGCAATATTAGTTGTTAAGTGCCTTCTCTGCCCCTTGTATTAGATGTTATGGCAGGATGAAGAAAACAAGTCCTGCTGTTATTAGTGCTGGGAGTC